GCAACATGAATGACGAAGCCATAACAGTGCTTCTAAACTTCATTAACAAACACTGGGTGAATGGCACTATACCTCAGCAATGGAAACATGCTGTAATAATTATGATACCCAAACCAGGAAAGAAACTGGTAATATAAAACCTCAGGCCAATCTCTCTTACCTCGTGCTTAGGCAAAAAGTTTGAGAGATTAATAAATACCAGACTTCAACGGCACCTTGAACAAAATAACTTGTTGCCAAACACCATGTTTGGTTTCCGCTCGAACCTTTCGACACAGGACATCCTTCTGCTTTTAAAGGAGGAAATACTAACAAATGTTCCAAAAGCAGGAGAAAACATTGTCATGGCCATCGACATAAAAGGCGCTTTCGACAACCTAAGCCATAAGGCCATATTAGATGGGCTAGCAACGACAAACTACGGTCAAAGGACGTACAAATATGTACAGAACTTCCTTACTAAAAGAACCGCTGTTATCATATTAGGAGAAGATGAATCCAATGTCTTCCACCCACCGAGCAAAGGCACACTACAAGGCGCTGTGATCTCGCCTATGCTTTTCAACATAGCCATGATTGGTCTAGCCAAAAAAACTGGAAGGTATTCCCGACATCCGACACTCCTTCTATGCGGATGACATCACAATATGGACAACCAAGGGTAGCTTGGCAGAAAAAGAAGAGCGGCTTCAACTGGCAGCTAAAACCATCGAAGATTACACTAAAGAAAGGGGACTTCAGTGCTCAGCAGACAAATCAGAACTCATTCGTTTCTCCAAGAGTAAAAAACAAAGGACAGACCCGAGCCTCCGCCTTCAGGTCAAGCTAGACGGCAATATTATTCCAGAGAAAACAACCGTTCGAATCTTAGGAATGTGGTTACAGTCCAATCAGCGATGTCTCCGCACACTGAATATGCTTAAACGAACAGCTCAACAAATTGTTCGTATGATAGTTAGAACAACGAACAATCGTGCTGGACTGAAAGAAAAAGGCGTGCTTCGATTGGTAAAGAGCTTAGTCATCAGCAGACTAACATACTCGCTACCCTACCACAACATGAATAGAGAGGAGAAAGAAAAAGCAGACAAAACAATAAGGATGACATATAAAGCGGCTCTGCGACTACCACAAAGCACTTCAACTGCGAAGCTATTAGCGCTCGGACTTCACAATACATTTGATGAGTTGGCTGAGGCACAAGTAACCACCCAGATTAACCGCCTGCTACAGACGCCAACCGGCAGAAAACTTCTTCAGAGGATCGGCCTCGGTGAACAAGTACAGGCACATGGAAGAGCTAAGGAATTGTCGTGCTCAGTCAGAGCCTGGTACAAAATATGCCCCCTACCGAAGAACATGGACCCAGTCTTACATGCTGGAAGACGTAAAGCAAGAGCCGCTTACATAGATAAAAAGACAAAATATTTGAATACGGCGAGATTTACTGACGCTACACCATATCAGGCAAATACAAAGAACATGATGACCGTGGTCACAGACCGAAAAGGAAACGTCACAAGTTGTGCCTCCATAGCCCAAGCCTCTATCACAGAAGCGGAGGAGATAGCGATCGCGCTGGCAATCAAGGAGGGCAGGGAGCGAAAAGCCCCAATGACAATAATCACAGATTCGAAGGCTGCATGTAGAAATTACGAAAAAGGTAGAATATGTATGAAGGCCTTCCAAATTCTAACCAAAGCTCATAAGGACTTCCCAATTGAACACACCCAAACCATTATCTGGGCGCCAGGGCACGAGGGCGTCACCGGGAACCAGTTTGCGGATGAGGCGGCTCGTGGCTTCACAAATTACCGAGCTTCCTTGCACACTGCAATAGAGGATCCAACGCCCCTAGACCCTAACTTTGGTACAATTCTTCAGTATTACAGGGACAATAGAAAAGTGTATCCAGTACCACATAAGAAACTCACAGCAATGGAATCGGTGGCATTACGCAGAATCCAAACAAACACATACACGAACTTACACAGGCTGCATGTATTCTACCCCACAGCATACAAAGATATATGTCCGTGGTGTGGGGCCACACCAACTCTGTTTCACATCACGTGGGAGTGTATGCATCACAATGAAGAACACCACAACATGAACAACACAGAAGAACAATGGGAGGCGCTGCTGTCCAGCTCGGCCATTGTTGATCAGCGCTGGCTGGTCCAACGAGTAGAGATGATGGCTAGGGCCAGCGGAGCCCTGGAATAGGGGCCCGACCATTTGGAATGCTCCGCGTTACGCGCAAACAAAGTTTTCTCTCTCTCTCTCTCTCTCTCTCTCCACAGCTGAATATCGAAACGCCCGAAGCGGCAAGTTTGCTGCTCGGAGGTCAACAGCTATGAGCAAGCGCTCCGCAATGCGGCACCTAACGCGCGGATTGTGCTCAAGCCAAGCAGTCACACTTTCAACGTTTCGTTGAGCGGCAGGAAAAAGCGTGCTAGTCCTCCCATCTGCCATCATGACCACACACGCACACCGAGAGCGAGCAAGACGCACAGACGCGACACACATGCCAGAACATGTGGAACAGCCCTGGGCCCGTTTCCAGTCAGAAAAAGAAACTAATTCAAGCCAGCGTGGCTGGCGGCGTGGAGCGGTGGAGACGGGCGAAGGGGTTGTGATCAAGAGGGGAGAGCAGATTTGCGAGAAAAGGGCAAGGAGTTGCGATAAAGAGAGAGGAGGATGCGGCGGGCGGTGTGACCTTGAAAACCAAAACACACGGGAAGGAGGCAGATTGGGTAGCTTGCTTGAAAGGTCCACGAAACTCGCACGTAGAAAAACTTGAACGAGTGCCTGCATGCGCAGAAGTCAAAGCATGGCCGCCTGGATCGGTGTGCGCGGCGGTGTTTGAAGAATCGGCAGCCGTGGTCAAAAAATCGTTTTGTTGCGCCGGCGAGTTTGCGTGGCCTCACAAACTTCGATATTTCGCGATTCGTTTCGCGCAAATTAACAGCCATTTTTGCGCTTCCGCACGTGCGCGGAAGGCATGCTGAGCAGAGTGCAAAGTGAACGAGAACAAGTCCTAAACACGAAATGAATCGCAAATTATCAGAGTCGGTGGGGTTGTGTACGCACGTGCACTAGACGCAGACTATCCGATACAGTCGGTGGCTGACGAAGTTGGCAAATGGTCTGGTCAATCCAGGCCGGAGAGGCCAATGACAATACCAGCGATCAAAAACAGGGTAGATGGCCGACTGGTCTTCCAAAGATCGGTGGTAGCATGAAAACACGGGCCTCGTCTAGCGATGCGGGGTAGACGAGGCCCCGCATCGCTAGACGGTAGTGTAAAGGTATAAATGGTAGTGTAAAGTAAGTAGATATTTTCGGACTAAACTGGTAAAGTCTTCAACGATTCTTTAAAAAAAAAGACATCAAAGTTCCCAACAACACTATACAGCTTACACAAGGCAGGAAGGTGTATACACGGGCTAGTTTGTTAAAATGTTTGTTAAAATACATAGTTTGAAAACAGCAGGAAAGACATAAAAGAAAAAAGGCTATACAAGTTAGCAAAGCATAGCAGGAAAGAAACTCAAAACGCGTACACAGAACAAGTGATCATAATGGCCACCATTATGAAAAAAATGTGCACAACAAAGGTACTTTTGCAGAAAATGCAAATTTTTTAAAATATCATGAGGCCATACGAATACACAATATTATAAAGGCATTTGGACTAAGAATAGTTGGTAGAGTGCAAATCTTCTTTAGGGCGTGCAAATAAGAATGTGATATTGCACTTTTATAACAATTTTGTTAAATTTCATAACATCCTTTGTCGCTTACTTTCACCAAACCTCCTGCTCTGCTGTTCTCTCCTAATTTTTTCACGTGCAGATGCTCTACATTTTTCTGTCACAATGCCTTTCATTCTAAAGCTTGTTTTTAATATAACCTGTTTCCAATCTTAATCTTTCTCTACTTCTCATGCTCTTTTCTTTTATTCACTGTTTAGCTTCTCCCAGCTTTTCTTGTGACTGCAGGTTTCACTATTTTGTTTCAGCCTAAATACTTCCCAATCACAGCACTACCTACCATTAATGTTATTCAGTGGGGCCCCACTGCTGTAGAGCCTCAGCACCCACACCCAGTTCAGCCATTTTATTACTCATACCTTTCCTGGTTGATAGCACCATTGGTCACTGGTACTGTAATGAATAGCATAATGCAACGCCAGACCTTGAACTGGTGTTGGATCTCCTGGGGAGCTATTCTCGAAGTGTCCATTTTTCTCACCGCTGAGGCCAGAGCTTGACAAGTAGTCGCTCCCAGTTTCCGGTTCTTCCGCAACGTCATTTTTATGTGACAGCTTTCACAACTCTCGACACACTTAAGAGGAACGGAACGCCCTTCTACGTGGTGAACACAGCTTTTTGAGATCTGTTTTCAGCTGCATGAGTTTCAGAGAACATGCATAAACTCTTATACTGCGATTGTGTTGGTCCTCGAATCAATTTAATGCAGCCTCCCATTTAACACACCTTTAAAGGTCAATACACATTCCCAGCACCGTTCGCAAGAATCTGGGACACGCTCATGTGTAAGGACAGACGTGCAAAGTTTTTTAAGTGCTCTGTGACTATACATTTCATCCACTTTCTTCTAGCGCTGACAGTATGGCGGGCAGCTGCAGTCTGCCGACGTGGTTAAGAGTGTGGTGATGTCACTGTTTGCTGCTTTCTCAAGAAATGAATGTGCCCCGACAAAATGGACATGTCCACTAGATGGACAGTTCGAGAATAACTCTCCTGATCTCATCATACCACCGATCCCGACAATGCTGCATTTGCTGGTTTTTGACGCCACTATTGGTGACAAGGGTAACTGCCTATTCTGGGTTCTGAAATATGTTTGTGCCAATCCCTAACCCAACTCAATATAAACCTTTTAGCTGCCAACCATTATGATGTTGTATTGTTGTTTCTATGTGTCTTTCACAGACTTCACAAAATGAAAGTTTACAAAAGTAAATGTCTTACCTAAACTCAGGTAGGCATGCAAGAAATGAACAACTTTCTGTTTTCTTGCTCCATTAAGTTCTTTACAAGCCTCATCCAACATTTTAACTAATATACGGGCCATAGGAACAATGTAGGGCTCAGAAATTTTTGGTGCAATGGCCTGAAACATAAAAAAAATACACAGTCCAAAACAAAATAACTTTAAGCCACACTAAGCTTGTCTGCCTAGCACTCCAAACACTGCATGAAAATTTATTACAGCAACACCAAAACGTTTTTTTTTAGATCTACTATTTTTAACAAAAGCTTCTAACAAAGTAGCTAGCACTCAATTTCATGTAGAAGCATACAACAGAAACATTCAAGTAGTGTCACCAGAATGAGTGCCATTTGCACCATAAAATGTTAAATAATTATGCTATAAGACTATATCATTATACAACATACATGCAAAGAGTCATCAAATATGAGTTCTTACCATGCTGACTTCAAGCGGAAATAAAGTGTCAGTGCACCGATCACCAGCACCAAACATGTCAACATAGTCGACAATTTGAGCCAGCAACCAGTCACAATTCAAGACATCACTGTGCTTAACAAGCTCGTTGACCAAGCATGTAAAATTGTCTTGATGCTTTGATGTTCCACTCTGAAGCCTTTGAAATTCATTTAGAATGATGCTTCCAAGGAGGTCTTGCCCAGTATTGTACAACTTTTTTTTATACTGGCAAACAATTATAAGGTGCATGAGCAGCTGCAAAAATGGTAGAGAAAAGTACATAGCAATGTGAGAAATCTACAAAAGTAGGTTCCTAAAATATAAAATCTGTCAAAATAATTGGTATCTTTTAATTAGACTACTAAGAAAATTAAAAAGATCTGCAGCCCACCCATTCCTAAGGATGGCAGTGCAGAGATGATAATACAGATGCAGTACTGGTGTATCTTTCACTGGTCTAATGCAATCCCTTTCACCAGATTCACCCGTTGAGGTTACTGCCTTTCAGCAGGGCTCAATGCAGCTATAGTTTTATTTGGCATTGCAAATAAACAACAGATGATGCGCAAGCAATGCTGCTGCATACTGAAACTGTGCCTGGAAGGCAACAAGACATCGTAGGCTAATCTGATGTGAAACAAGTCCACAGTGAAACTGCAGTGCCAGCAAAGCAAGAAGCCAGTGTCATGTTGGAGCCTCCACTGCACCGAGACACTACCCCAATGCTTCGGCCCTCACTAGTCATAATGCAGTACTACTTTGCTGCACTGCTCCTAGATGGTGACAACATTCTCAGCAAGAGGAAGAAGCACGGCAAGGTGGAGAGGGAGTGTATAAAATTCATTTATACTGGTAAACCTATCTGCACTTGCGTCCTGGTTGGGTGGCCCAGCCAAATAATTTTGTTTCGGCTGTTTCTTTTCTGTCTGTTGTGTTCCAAGCACCCCTGCGTCACGAGCGAGCCCCGCGAAGGACCAGTTGCTGAAACTGCTTCCAGATGTTGACTCCTCCCCTTCTCCCGCTCGGCGGAAACGAGCCACCCGGCAGTTCGGCCGCCGCCTCCATCCGAATAGAAATAAACTTGTTTTTAACCGTTCGAGGCTGTCTGAGCTTTTTGGACTACCGCGACCAACGCGTACGTCTATGGGCCGACGACAACACCGGACATAACAGTGGCGACGAGGAAGTGGATTTGGACCAACGCTACGCAACGATATTGACAAGCTACAAGCTATGGCTACGCACGGGCTCCCAAATCGGCTACCCGAATTCAACGGTTCATCATGGTCATCGTGGTTTGGACGCCTGCAATTTTACTTTGAGGCTAACAACATCACTGATGCAGCAATGAAGAGGGCCAACCTGCTAACGCTGTGTGGGGAGCAGACATACGACACAGTCTGTGCCCTGATTCAGCCACGCACTCCAGCAGCCGTTGACTACGACGACATCGTAGCAGCGCTACAAGAGCACTATGACCCAAGGCCATCGGAGGTCTACTGTCGAGCCCGCTTCCAACGGTGAGACCAACTGGAAGGCGAAAAAAGTGGCCGAATACCGTATATACTCGTGTAAGGGCCGCCCTCGTGTAAGGGCCGCACCCCAACTTTGAAAGCGGATATTTCGAAAAAAAAAAAAACAAAAGTTCAAAATGTCCCGCCAGAAAAGTGTAGTTAGTTCATTTACAGCCAGATGGCGCTGCACGCTTTTCCGCTTTTATTCTACTTCCGCCGACGCGCCGACCACGCTGTTGACAGCGCGCCGCCATATTTGCCTTGTGCGGCCTCTTTGTTGGCATCGTTCCTAGCATCGTGTCGATACGTTGGCAGCGCGACTTCAGATCGGTGTCGTCGGTGTCACTTTGTTGGTTGTAGTGAACCCTGCAGAAGCCAGCGCACGTGACGGACGATGGGCCGGCATCTGAGATCATTCACTGCAGCATTTAAGCTGCAAGTGATTGACTATGCCGAGGAGCACGGGAAGCGGGAAGCTGGACGAAAGTACGACGTCGATGAGAAGCGCGTGCGTTACTGGATGAATCAGAAAGATGCCCTCGCCGCTACTAACAGGAGCCGAAAGGCGTTTCGCGGGAAAAAGTGCAAGTACCCGCAACTCGAAAGCGAGCTCGTCAACTACGTCGTCGACACACGAAGGGACGGCTACGCCGTATCGACTGACATGATACGCGTCAAAGCCCTCAGCATCGCTCGCCACATGGAAATACCCCCGGCACAATTCAAGGCAAGTCGGGGCTGGGCTACGCGGTTTATGAACCGTAACCAGCTTTCTATTCGGCGCCGAACGACGATTTGCCAAAAACTGCCGCGCGAGTACGAAGACCACGTCATTAAGTTTCATCGCTTCGTGAATGCTCTCAGGAGGGAGCATGAATACGACCTGTCCCAAATTGGGAATGCGGACCAGACACCTGTGTGGTTCGATGCACCGGAAAGCACCACAGTGGATTTAAAAGGTGCGAAAAGTGTGTCTGTGCGCACGACTGGTGCAGAACGCCAAAGGTGCACTGTGATGTTGTGCATCACGGCAGACGGCAGGAGGCTTCCGCCGTACGTCGTATTTAAAAGGAAGACTCTCCCAAAAGAGAAGTTCCCTCAGGGAATCGTCGTACGTGCGCAAGAGAAGGGCTGGATGTCCGAGGAACTGGTCGTTGACTGGATTAAGACCGTCTGGGCAAACAGACCTGGAGGGCTGTTACAACGGAAAGCCCTCCTTGTTTTGGACAGCTTTAGGGGCCACTTGACCGACCGCGTCAAGAACCGAGTTGCCGCAACTCGTACGGACTTGGCCGTCATTCCCGGTGGCCTGACGAGTGTGCTGCAGCCGCTCGACGTATGCGTCAACAGACCATTCAAAGTGGAATTTCGCCGATGTTACTCTGAATGGATGGCTGGAGGCGTCCACGAGAAGACCCCTACAGGACGGCTGAAGCGGGCGTCGCTCCAACAGGTGTGTGAATGGATTTTGAATGCGTGGCGTGCCATGTCAGTAGAAGTAGTTGCTAAAAGCTTCAAGGTAACGGGAATTTCGAACTCCATGAACGGCACCGAAGATGACCGTCTCTGGGAAGACGCGGACGCCGAGGCGAGCTCCTCCGAGAACGAGGACAGCGAAATGGAATCCGAATAAAAACATTTCTGGCATGTCATTTGTGACTCTTGCACTCTGCTACTGTTGCATAAACAGTACAGACCTTTGGCCTGTACTGCCTGTACTAAATCGGCCTGATTCGTGTAAGGGCCGCACCTAGCAAAATTTTCGAAAAAAAAGTGCGGCCCTTACACGAGTATATACGGTACGTAGCGGCTCTCAAAAAGCTCGCTGCTGACTGCAATTTTGGGACGTTGACCGCGACAGCTGCAGCTACTGCGCAGGAGGGAGGATCGACTGCCACACCTGCTAACACCACTATGCTTCCCTTGGACGTTATGTTGCGTGACCGTTTTGTGTGCGGACTGCGTGATGCAGGCCTGCAACAACGCCTGTTCGCGGAGACGGGTCTCACCTTCTCCAAAGCCTACGACATCGCCCAACGAGCGGAGAGCGCCGGTCACCAGCAGAGGGATATTCAACGGAACGTCGAGCCGGTGCATCACACCAGTCAGCAGTCGGGTAATTCCACGTCTAAGGCGAAATCAAGCAGAAAGACACAGCGCTGTAGGCGATGCGACGACATGCACGATCCCCAGGTATGTCGATACAAGACAGCGACCTGCAATTTTTGCCAAAAACTGGGACACATTGAAAAGGCATGCATCTCGAACCGAAGACTTCAGTGCAACAGAACAACAATGTCGACGCACAGGAGGGCCAGACGCAAGATACAAGCCGAACAGCACTAACGTCATCGGCACTATATGACTTAAACGCCGTTACAGTTCACGATTGTCAGCCTTGCCAATGCAACCACAGAAGCCTGCCAAGAGCTCCTATTCCTGAATGGGAAAGACCAGACACGCCTTGGTACACCCTGCACATTGATTATGCTGGACCTATCGAAGGGTGTTCGTTCCTGGTGGCTGTAGACGCATACACCAAGTGGCTGGAGGTAAAACAAATGGCTACAACGACATCGGCAGCAGTTATCGACACTCTGAGGTCGTTGTTTGCAACGTTTGGCCTACCGCGCAAGGTGGTCTCGGACAACGGCACTCCTTTTGTGTCCACGGAGATTCTCAAGTTTTACAGCGACAACGGCGTCTCGTCTGTTACATCAGCTCCTTACCACTCGGCTACGAACGGACAAGCCGAGCGCTACGTGGCTGAGCTAAAGCGCGCCCTTACTAAAGACCAGACTGGGACAATGCAACGCCGCATCGCGCGCTTTCTCTTCAGACAGCACAACACTGTTCAAAGCACTACTGATCAAACGCCAGCGAAATTGATGTTCGGACGAGAAATGAGAACCCAGCTGACAGCAATTGTCCCGGAGCCCTCAGCGAAAGCACCGTCGGAGGAAGAAAAGCTCCCGCATAGCAGGAGAATTGAAAGTGGACAGCGCATATATGCCCGCCAGTTCCACAGAAAGCCCGGCTGGGTTGAAGCGACGGCACTCAAACGCATAGGTTTGCGGTCATGGCTCGTCGACATAGGTGGAAAGGCCACACGCCGCCACCTTAATCAGCTACGCCGTTTAGGTAATTTGCCAAGGGAACCTCCCATTCAAGCAGCCACCTCGACGGAAGCTTCGTTCCACTTAGCCTGGCATCTCGCACCAGATGAATCGGCGCCGCCGCCCGTCCCGCCGCCCGCCGGCCCTGAACACAAGAGAAACGACACCCAGCGAGCGGAGGCTTCTCTTCCTAGTGCGTCCAGAGCATCCACGCGCCCACGGCGGCCCCCATATCGCTTCCAAGCGACAAGCTAAGGAGGGAGGAGATGTCGTGTTCCAAGCACCCCTGTGTCACGAGCGAGCCTCGCGAAGGACCGGTTGCTGAAACTGCTTCCAGATGTTGACTCCTCCCCTTCTCCTGCTCGGCGGAAACGAGCCACCGTCGTTTCCCCCGGCAGTTCGGCCGCCGCCTCCATCCGAATAGAAATAAACTTGTTTTTAACCGTTCGAGGCTGTCTGAGCTTTTTGGACTACCGCGACCAACGCGTACGTCTATGGGCCGACGACAACACCGGACATAACACTGTCCTACCCGCATGCTCACTTATTGAGATCAATTCAGTCATGGAGATGATGAGAGTTGATTGATTGATAGATTGACTAATTTCATTGATTTGTTTATCCC